TAGCTCACAGCAACCTCAAACTCTTGGGCTTGAGCAATCCTCTTGCCTCCACCTCCCAAGTAGCTGGGACTACAGGCGCCTGTCATGATGCTTGGCTACTTTTAGAGACGGGGTCTTGCTCTTGCTTAGGTCAGTCTCAAAACTCCTGAGCTAAAGCAATCCACCCACCTCACTTTCTAAACAACCCCTTAGAAAATCTGAAGTCCTTAAATAAAAAAGGAAAAACTGGGGTGTAGCAGAGCTCCTGGGAACCAGCTAGTGGTCAAACAAGTGTTAAACCTCAGTAGCAGGCAGGAGTTTCACTCTACAGCCTCAATCCCTTTTAAAATGTTTATATCCCTGAAAACCAATGCTGGGTCATCTCTCAATGCTGGGTCAAAGTTGCTTCTATAAAGCTTGTGTTGACTAGACAGTCTGAGTACTCAAAGAATAAAATGTCCTTGTCACCTACATAGTAGCTTAAAAATATAACATCACCCCATTTAATAAGAAAGGCACTGCCTCAGGAAACCAGATATCTACACAGAATGTTTAAGAATGGAACTGACAAATTAAGCTAGAAGAAGGGGTAAAAAGTTGGGAGAAGAGCCACTTTTAATTTTTTGCCAGAAGCAGAATAAAACGGAAATACATCTCAGCCACTGTGATTATTTACTTTAGATAGTCTAACAATGACAGACTGATTGTAGAACAATGATTTCCAAATCATTCCCCAAAATACCAGTTGTGAAATCTCCTCCAAAAGCTCTGAAAGCAAAGAGGAATGGACTACATTCTCCATTTCAACTTTATCGCACAGATCCCAAAAGTTAAATAACATTTGTAGAAGTCATCAGAAATGAGCGCAAGCTGACTGTATGTCTTTCAATTTGCCCCCAAGAATCCTTAACCTGCACTTCTACCTTAGGGAGTTGGACTCACTGCAAACTCTGAACCCTCCAGCTATCAGTTTATACACTGTATTTTCTTGACAACCTGAATAATGCTTCAGCCTGATATCCAGCTACAGAGATGTGCTTTTGCTGAGAAGTGGTAAAGACAGGGGACCTATAGAGGACTACACTGATTAACTGATTAACCATGGAGGACAGTGCTCTCACAAAAATGATCTATAGCCATTTCCTCTCTGAAAATCCAGGTCACAGAAAGAGGGAGATTACTTGCTCTTCTTGAGCATGAAAACTATGCAGAACATAGGAGATAAGCCTTCTTTTATAAAGCAAATGATCATCACTCCCCCCTCAATTTAGGTGTTGCACAAATCTAAATCTTCCCACTGGCTCGGGATCTGTGGCTCAAGCGGCTAAGGCACCAGCCACATACACCTAAGGTGGCGGGTTCAAATCCAGCCCGGGCTCACCAAACAACAATGATGGCTGCAACCAAAAATATAGCTGGGTGTTGTGGCAGGCACCTGTGGTCCCAGCTACTTGGGAGGCTAAGGCAGGAGACTGGCTTGAGCCCAGGAGTTGGAGGTTGTTGTGAGCTGTGATGCCACGGCACTCTACCCAGGTGAACAACTTGAGGCTCTGTCTCCAAAAAAAAAAGATTGCAGGCTCAGCACCTATAGCACAGGGGTTACAGCACCAGCCACATACACCGAGGCTGGCAGGCTCGAACCCAGCCCAGGCCAGCTAAACAACGACAACTAGAATAAAAAATAGCTGGGCGTTGTGTTGGGCACCTATAGTCCCGCTACTCGGGGGGCTGAGGCAAGAGAATCGCTTAAGCCCAAGAGTTGAAGGTTGCTGTGAGCTATGTTGCCACAGCACTCAACCCAGGGCAACGCAGTGAGACTCTGTCTCAAAAAAAAAAAAAAAAAAAAAGATTGCAATTAAAAAAAATTCAATGACTGGCAGGTACACTGGCTCAATCCTAGCACTCTGGGAGGTCAAGGCAGGTAGACTGCCTGAGCTCAGGAGTTCAAGACCAATGTGAGCTAGAGCAA